CCAAACTACCCGAAGCGCCACACATCCAAATGAATAATTTAAATAATTCAAAAGATATGGTAAAAGTCTTTTGTCACTGTGTGAGGTACTTTTTCTGTCCAAGGGTGGGTACAGCAAATATAAGTCCATGATGTAGACAGTATTGTTATCATCACATTATATAGTCTAAATTAAAACTTGCCACTCAGGTCACATGCAAAATTCAGTTGCAAATTTGTATTCAAATGTATTTAAGAAAACAAACAAAGCACAATGGATACCAGTCATGAAAAAGTGACAAGGTCAAGGTATGGCTTTTGGAAATATGGAAATTCAATGTATTTCTAATAGAATGATTTTATTCATTATGACATAGGTATTTAAGGACAACAACTGAAACAAAACTTTTAAACTTTAGACTTTATTACACTTAGACTTAATTGTAACATTATTATCCTGAAGAATAAACTAAACTAAATTAAACTAAACTAATATATATTCAGTTTTATAATAGTAAGAATTAACATCCAGAAAAACACACAAAGAGGATTGGTAATATTGAACTATCAAACAAGGCAAATCTAAACACAAAACACACCAGAGGCCTCTGTCTCCCTCATCTGTTTGCTGTGTGTGATTCTCTTATCTATCTCATTTGTTCAGTTTCACAAAGGTAAGAGCGAGGAAGGGGTGTCACTAACCACAGGTGCTTTAAAAACACATCCGTCTTAAATGAGTCAGGGTTCACACATTTTATTTTCTAGATAGAAGGTGATGTCACAAAAATCTCTTTTCAGCATGTGAGTGAATCACTACCACGCTGAGGTCAGAGGTCACCCTCAAGCCAAACAAAGTGATGATGCTAGATCCACCTTGTGAGGGGTGAGGAGGAAACACCAGTGGGCCTCATTATCAGACAAGCAGTTCTAAATTAACCCATAAAAGACATTAGTTATACATTGAATTATACTAGATAGAATTTAACACAGAATTTCAGCAACGTGACGTGATTAAAGCTGATTGTTGAAACACTGGACTCTCAATAGCAGTCATGAATATGTCACAGTATCTTAATAATAACTGTGTGTATGCAGTGGGCGATAAGCTGTGAATGGTTTTATTCTAGTGCTGTGAAAATACTGCAGCTCTAGTGGTGTACCTTCATGTCATGTTGAAACAACGCCATAAATTTGCATAGAAATAATGTAAAACCACCAGGCTTATTGTCAAATGGAAGTTAACTCTGACTCACATAAAATGTTATAACACATATTATCTTACACAATAACTGAAACTTATAAAGTTTTTCTCACTCAAGTGTTTATTGTTCCATTTGTGTATAAAGTTTACGTTTACTTTTTCCTGTCATAAAAGGTATAATAGAAATAAGTACAAGGAAAAATACGCTTACTAAAGCTTAAAGAATAAAACAGGAAACCGCTTTATGAATTAAATAGGACCAGCAGCCCCAGACTCAGGATCACTGAAAAAAGTCCATGGAGCTGCACTGCCTCAGAGCCAGAGAGAGGAAGGTCTGTATGAGGATGAAGATAACAAACAGGACAAAACAAGTCATTAGACTGGATTTGAATCACAGTTCGTCAGTCATATGACAGTAGACACAAGAGCGTTCAGAACGTTTAACTTCTACCATTATGGTGGCCTTGGCAGAGAGTCCAGCAGCTGGATTTTCTGCAATGCAGGTGCAGACTTCTGCAAACTTCATTTGCATGGACTGAAAAATAGATTCCCATGGGGGATTTGACAGTATATTCCACATTTAAGGTACATGTTGTCAAGCAGGTGAACTCAGTCAGTCTGCCAGGAAACGCAACGTCAGGTCCACTGATGCTGATATTCCATGGATCAACAACAACTACAAATACAAATTCTTCCTTCTACGGTGTTTGCTTAGACTATTCCTCTGTCTTTAAATACTTAAAGGTGAGTAAATCGCCCACGCTAGAAACTCTTGTTATATAGAGGTCTCACACTGTGTTAATGGGCACCAGAGGGCAGCAGTGAGTTAAGGTGAAGGATGAGGTTGTTTTGCAGCAGCCGCATATTTTCATGCAGGATCAATTTCTGTCCATCTTTGTGCCAGACCAGGTCGTGGGGGTCACCTGATGTCATCATGGCAGAGCAGATCCAGTGCCTGGTTGAGAGATGGGACAGTGTTTAGTCACAAAGGATATCTGATAGACAGGATTTCCAAATCATAAAGGAAAGAAGGAACACACACATCAGAGATAAAACATCTACACTATGTGTAACTCATACACGATTCCTGTCACTAACATTTTTTTTTATCATACATGACATTATTAGATTGTTAGTACTGATGCATCACTGTGACAGTCACTTGAGGTTGAGCTAGTTTTAACTACTTTATCTTGTGCTGAATGATTGTTTGTTATATGAAATATTGACTTCTTTAATTGAAACAATCTGAAAAGTTGAGGGGGGTGATCAATCTTTTGCTAACAACTCATCAGAAACATGACAAGGAACCCCAACCAGACACTGTGTTTTTGTAAGGGCTCACAAGCCAAAAAAGGTGGGAACCACCGGTTTGATCATTAACATTGTGTCAGATTTTTCAAACTTATCATGTTCAGCTTTGGCTTTTTAAGTAAAATCTTAACCTGAAAAGTAAGTAATAACTAGTACCTTAGAAAGTACCGTAAATGTGTAAAAGTACTCAGTTACTTTTAATCACTGTGCAACTGGTATAGAAATAGAAACTACTAGAGAGTCCTGTTTCTGGGCTGAGGACAGCGCACTGCAGTTTCACTATATGATATCCAGGTTAACCCGCTCTCATTCACTGTGTGGCCCTTAAAGGACTATTTAGTCTTTGTCTGCCTATAATGGACACAGTGTTTTCTTTTCATTTGGTTCCTACCAAAACATAATGAATGAAAGTTGTTGGGTTAACAGTGCCTGTCAATGAGGCATCTATCATTTCCCCTACAGATTCTTTTCTCCTGTGTTTTCTAGACAAAATCCTTAACATTTGGACACATTTTAGAGAAGCAACCCCTCTCTTGTCATATTTTAACTTCTTTAGTTCTGTGTCTTTTTTCATCACTGCTGGTTTTGTAGAGAGCTGTGGTGGGATAAGGTTGTGTAATACATCTCTGTGTGAGCACTAATGTCAGAGTTTTTTTGCTCAGTGTGTATGTGAATCAGCAAGATGTGCTTAGCTTTTAGGAGTTATATCTAACTTCATAACTACTTTCAGTGTGTTGCCCCTAAAAAAATATATTCTGTATATTTTATCTTGTAGAGGTGCCGCTGCTGTATTTGTGCCATATCTTAGCTGTGTTGTCAGCTTATTTCTGATAACTTTGCAGACCTTCGTCAAACAGTACCACCAGCAAAACACAGTTCTTCCAGCAGGTGTCGTGGTAATGTCTCTGATGTCTGACTCCACTATTGGTTTAAGCTAGATCTACAGTCCTTTTTTATACTGAACATGCAGGAAGTTTTTTCTCTTTTCACTAAAACGTTATTTGTTTCACAACCAAATTTCCCAACGTCATCCTGTTTCACAACACAGTATACCTCATGATGAACTTATAGGTTCGTTTTTGTGAGTTTTGCAAGTTGTGGGGTGATTGACACAATGTTTGTTTTAATTCTGTGAATATGGATTATTTCAAATCAGGGAAAACAGTGACAAGTCAAGAAGATACAGCTGTGCTGAAATTACACCGTTCTGGACAGTTTTGATAGAGCATTGCATGGAGCTAGATGGCACTGTCTTACAGCAGTTTCTCAATAGCTGTCAGCCACTCCTCCTCTAGATAGCCTCTATATAAAGCAGGATAAACAGTGAATGACCTGAATTGTTTTATCAGCACAGCAGCCTATCAACAGGCCTTGAAACTGGTATTGATATAGTAATAAAGCAGTCTAGCATTTTCTTATATCTTGCTAAACCATTATATTTTCCTTCTTTTTCCTTTTCCCTACTCTCATTTCAGCTGACATTGTCTGGCCTCAGAGGTGTGACGTTTGTACACCTAATAAAATGTCCTATTATAACAACATTTCTTTTGGGAATGATAAGTTTTTATTACACTGAAAGCTCATTATCACTTGTGATAGTTGAGTCATCCTCTTCCTGGGTATCACTCACTAAGACAAGTCAATAAATACTGTGTCCAAACAGGTGGGGCCTCTCTGGTGAAAGACTTAACAAGGGCAAACAGTAAAGGTTGATGGGTGAAAACCTCTGATCTGTCTTTTAGGAGGAAGACATTAACATCTTACTCTGAGTAAGACATTAAAGAGCACAAAGTAAGAAAACCATAGTCAATGATATCTGGCATTCATTCATCAATGCAGTACTTTCATTGCACTTTTATTGCACAGTACTTTCATTAAATTTGATTTTTATATTGTTTATATTTACCCTTAACGACCTTTGAATTTATTGCTGTACTTTAGATGCAGTGTCATTCCTGGAAATGGATGTCATTTTGCATACTGTACAGCTTCTTCTTTCTCTTTCTCTTTCTTCCTGTATTTTCTTTTCTTAAGCATGAGAGCCAATTGTTTGCATGTACTAATACACAACAATTTAAAACAGACAGTAAAACAAGGATCTTCTTACTTCCTCTTTTTTTATTAGTATTTTAAAGACACACAACAAACGATGTGATGATTATTACTCATAAACACTGACTATACCCTAGCAGATAGAGGTAGGACCACTGCCTTATTGCGGAAGACACATCTATATACTGCAGCATTTATGGTAAATTATTTACTGTAGGTCTCTTAAAAACAGACACCCACAAACTATTGTTCCATCTGACTCTTCGCATGTTCAATGTGTGCACGAAATGTACCATGAACTTTGCAAATATGAAAACAAGCACCCCCAGCAAGCTACTGTAGAACCAGATGCAGTGCCCTCCATGCACAAGAGAAAGAGACTACTGTGCTGTGTGAGGAAATGCAAATGCACAAAAAAACAGTGAAGTGGAACACAATGGAGCTGCACAATTCAGTAACTGAAAAAATAGTTTATTCTTCTGAATAAGCAATCAAATCATCACAAATTCAACACCTGCAACCTGAGGATTACATTCACTGCATTCTTTCTTTGGCTAAAAGGCAAACCGGTCAAACATTTATCACACATTCTTCAGCTGTGTGAATCACTCACAGGGAGTTTGATCTTTAGTAATGAGTAACTAATGGGGGATGGAAAACCTGGACGCTCAGATTCGAGAGCTGGAGCTGGTAGACAGCCTTTTCTGAGTCTCATGTGTTCTGAGCTAAAAGCAAATCATTATTTTATACAGAGAGTCAACAATAACCCAAACAGAAATAGTGTATACAGTCTGCTTCAATACAGCGCCAGACTAAACCATGATCTTTGTGGATAGAATTTATCAGCAGTCGATTACTACATTGCTAGTCAAACAACACAGTCAAATAAAGCAGGAGGCACTGATCTGATGGGGTTAATGTGGAGCCTGGCTGCAGTCACGACTTTCTGCCTTTAACTGAAGCCTCGTCCTTAACATACACCTGTCTGCATGTTCCCTGATATTACCTGTACAACTGAAAAGGTGCTTTGCACACCACTCTAACCTGTATTTGTTGTTTAGGTGATACAATTTATTCATTCCATCTATATCCATCTATTAAATCTACATCCACATCAACACCTGCTAGGATACAATATTGCCAGTCAGCAAATGATTTGTTTTGGAAATGGTATGGAGCATAGCATTGCAAACAGTATATGGCTCCATTTATTGAAATCAAAATTTGAATTTAAACTAAACCCAAATGCATTTTTGTTGCATTTGATAGCTGTCTCATCATAAGTTGTCCTTTAACAAATGAAATCTTTATCTTTAAATGCCAGTACAAACATACTGTACTGAATGCCTTAGAAATACAGTGTAGTTCAATTTGTATAATAATTACAATACAACAATTGTATGTGCTATGTAAACTAGCTGCTCTTTTCTACTCGCACATTAGTTCCCTGTTGTTTTGTGGCCTTTAGATAAACTGACCGAGAAAGAAGCTTATCATTTTATCACGTCAGCTTTTACTGACATTTACAGTAAACTTGTCCTGAAGCAGGACACAGTTTCCGCATTCCTGCTCGACAGACTTTAAGCATCAAGATGTATATTGCTCCTGAAATATCCATAAAAATAACCAATGGACGTCTCATGGAGATCCTTTTAACTTTGGTTATAAACCATTGTTTCTTCTCTGAGTGCAGAGATATACCTTGCTAGTGCTTATTTCTGCATGGTAGTGTTTTGGATTATTGTGGCTGTAGACCCTCTGTTGGTGGGATAATGATAAAGATAATAAATAAAGTTTAACTTAAGTTTAACTATCATTATGGAATTAAATTAGTCTGTAATAATTACTTAAATATTAATAACGAAAATCTTTCTGAACGACAAATTAACAAACTCCATCGATGTCAAGGAGTATCCATGTCCTGACTGATATTACTGAAATGTACTCTATATTATTACATTCACTGGTTTAACTGCATTTAAAATAAAACAAAAAAAACATCATTTTTTTAGATGTAATAATAAATATAAGAATTCGTTCTTAACCGACAAGCTGCAAACTGGAATCTCATCTGCAATCACACAGTATACATGTGGAGTCAAATATTACAGCAGACCAGTGTCAAACATTATTCTCAACCAAACAACTGAATCAACTGAACAAAATTAATATTTTCACATAACTGATGTTTGCATCGACTGTACACAAAATGGTGAAAAAAAGGAAATGAAGGCTATTATATATTGTAAAGTGCAAACGAATGGGGCAACATCGTTCCTTCTGACCTCAGTCATGGCAGTAACTGTCAGAGGTGGTTGATTATTAACTAACTCAAGTCCTTTGCCTTGGTAAACTCAAGTCCAGATTAGTCCTCCATAAACAACTGAGAGGGAGGTGAGGGTTACTCTGACAACACATTAGCTACGTCTGGCCTTCTCTAACGTGACTGGCTGATCCATTGCATCCAATGTGATCAGTTCTTGCGGACCTGGGCATAAGTTTCTGCACCATTAGCACTACACTAAGGAGCAGGAGCTGTCCTTCGCTGCATGTGGGCATCATAGGTAGGAGGGGAGGATGCTGCAGGAAGCCCGTTGTTCACTCTGACCTCAGCGTATTCTGATGTGTTATTCTGTGACCCCAGATGGACTATCCCACCATTCTTGTTCTGGAAAAACCTGATGTCTGCATAGTTCAGCTCCTGGAAAAGAAATAAAGACGGTGGTGATTCTAGAGTCTGTTGGGGCCCTAGGCAAAAAAATGGCAGGGGGCCCCTTCAAATTAGCATTCATCACAATTATGAAATAAATAATCAGACTGAATGTATGATATCTAAACATTTTTTTTATTCCAAATGTTCATGTTAGTAAAATTTTCAAAATATAAATATTAAGAACATAAAAACTTAAAAACATAAAAACTCAAATATGGGTACAAAAAACAATAAAAAAAGATAAATAACTAAATAATCTGTTTTAAACCTAATTTGCTTACATATGTAAAAGTAATAAGCTTATAACAGAAGAACTATAAGGCCAAAATGCATTTGTGAGGCCTGAATCTAAAGGTAACATTCTAGTTTCTGAAAATGTGCTTGTTTTGCATGTGACTACAACCCCACCTAACTACATCAGCTCACATGGTATTTTTTAGTACTTTTCAGTCCTCGCCTGTAAAAAAGTCATATCACATAACAATCAACAGGATATACTTTATACAAGAACAATGAAAAAGCTCTACAATACTTCTACATCTTGTAAAAAAATGCTCTGTGATAGTATGTATAGTTTAATTTAGTAGGCCTTTATAGTTCATTTTTTCACTGGCACCCATAAACCTCTCTAAAAAAAGGAAAACTGGGAGAAATGTGCTTTAACTCTATAATATGAAATAACAGAAAACATGTACAAAAATGTAGAAACAACAGAGCACCTGATTTATGTTTGTGACACGATCCAAAACTTATGAAAATCCTTGTCTGATCGACTGAAGCTCAAATCCATAAATATAGCTAGATCTCTTCCCTTTCAAATCTGTCCAGTTAGGAGTCATCATGAAAAAAGAATATAGGCCTATTGAATTTCTTGTTAAAAGTATCATCATAACAAAATACAGCAGCCTATACATAAATGTTTCACTAGCTAAAACCCCTGCCATTGTAAAATTATGAAAAAACAAACAATTGTCTAGAAATGTCAAAAGTGTCTGCAGATACACAATCATAATCACAGCTATACTGCAATTTGTCTGAACAGTTTTGTTGGTGCACAGACTGAGAATCATGAAAGTACTTAGTTTGGCAGGTAAACATGATTTATGATTATCTGTGTAAGGTTACGTGAGTGCATGTAAACCCAGTGATGGCTTTTACCTGACTTCCTGAGTACGCTGCGTTGTTCTGGCCTTCACCTGCTTTACAACATGAGGAATAAACAGTGTTTAGAAGAATTTGCGCAAACAAGTAAATAATATAGTATAAATACACACATAAAACAATACATAAAACACAGATTTGTAATTAACTTACCTGTTCTGGTACCGGTGTCTCTATTAGGGGATTTTTTCTTTCTGTTTAGAAAGGTAACAAGTCATTGCTATTATAGCTACTTTAGACATGCATTATATGACTTTTTGCAGCATAATAATAAGAGCATGGATACTCAGTAACTTTGTGTAAGATGCATCTGATTAGATGAAATCAGTTGTTCTGATTATGTTTGTTGACTGTCGTAAATGTAAAACAACATCAAAAGCTGAAAAAATTAGGCTTGACATCAGCACAACTCCTTTTAGTGCTTGACAAAAAGAAAATAAATAAATAATATGAAGAAAACATATACAGTATATCCATGTATTCATTGATAATATAGTTCTTTCTCAAATAGAGCTGCGACTCGCATTTTATCACAATCATGAGTCCCCTTCATTGAATATCAACCTTTTGTTGATGTTTGAGTTTTATCACTACTCTCAAAATTGCGTTTTACTGTAGGCCTAATTGTAATTTATTATTAATTATGTATGTAATTAATATAATTAATATAGTGTTCACAAAAGAAAAAATGGCTATCTGGTTGTATATTTTCTACTTACTTTTTTATATAAAGAAGAACCAGAAGAATACAAACTACAATCACGACACAACAAGCGATTACTATTCCAACGATGCAACCAGTTGAACAACTTGAAGGTGGTTGGACTAAAATAAAAAAGGGGATAAGAACATGATTTTACCACATTTTGTAAACAGACAGTGTCCCATCTCAAAACTGTCTAATAATTCCTCCCTTTATGTGACATCATATTTGGCTAGATACCAATACCTACAGTATTTACTTCACATCTATTTTGGCTGGAGAATATTTCTGTTTGGCAAACTGGTCAATGCACTGTGTTGCTTAAGCAAAAATTCTATGAATGTTTTGCTAAAGGGCAGTTAAATGAAGTTTTGCTTTTCAAGGCAATATTGTCAGATGAGAATAAATCTGCCCCATGTAGCTGGTAGAAAAGATCTGTAAGGTAAATCTTCAGGAAGCCTGCTACTCTTCAAACAGAGGTATAATAATGTAAGCTAAGTGCAATATGCAAGAGTATTAACAATATGTGCAGTCAACACTGTCTGGTACCTGTCGGGAACTGTGTTACAGTCAGTCCATGTACTGCAGATGATGTTTTCTCAGTTATTCTATTCATCGCTTCACAGGTGTACTTTCCACTGTCAGAAAGATCAGTGATGTGTTTAGTCAACACGGCAGAATTGTTGAGTATCTTCGTCTCATTCAGTTTCCAGGTGTAATTAGCAGTTGGTGTGCACTCAGCCGAGCAGGTTAATGTTAAGGTCTCGTTCAAACTTATTGTACTTGGACCTTTGATTTGAACATTTTCTGGTCCATCTGAAAGAGAGAGAGAGAGATTAGTGGTGATATTACAGTAGCACAAACCATGTTATTTCCCTCAGTGCACTCAGCATTTTACCACCATATGTCTGAAAAGTAAATGTACATTGTACAGCATCTTACTTACAGTTAACAACCATGATGTATTCAGCTGTAACACTGCTGAGAGGGTTGCTGATGTTACAGGAATAATTTCCACTGTCTGTTTTCTTTAGAGACTGAAAAGACAGCACTCTGTCAGTCTGGATCAGATCTGCACCATCCTTCATCCACTTTATGGCAAAGACCGAGCCAGCAGCCTCACAGGTTAAGTTGACAGAGTTTCCCTCAACTGGCTGGTTTGTTGATGATGTGACAGAGGCATTCACTATTGGCTCTGTTGGACAAAAGATAAAGGATTTTGTGAGAGAAATATGAAAACAGGAACAAAACTAGCCGAGTCACTGAGAGTTGACTGAGTAAATAGATCTAAAGGAACTTGAGAACAGTTCATCTTTGCGAGGGGAATAACCCATGAGTCCATGTCCAGTCATGGGTTATTCTACCATTTAACGTTTTTAACAACCTACCCTCCAGCCATATCATTGATATGAGTGGAATACATGACACTGACTTTACTCCAAGGTCAGAACATAACAGATAGTCAATTCACGTACAGAATAATGGAGAAAAGTGTTTTATCAAAACCACAAGATTCTCAAGTTGCCACTTTTACCACTATAAGGTCTTTTCCATTTAGTCTAATGTCATTGTTTCAGAGTTTTTAGCATAAGTATTAATGGAGCGTAATGCAACGTGTTTTCTATTTAGTAGATTTTTTGGCCACTTGGAGGCAGGGAAACAAACTGTAAATGCAACATTGACACATAATCACTGTTTAAGTTCATAAGTCCATTCAGGTTACTCGTCCAGGACATACAAAGCAACATTTGGAGTCATTGTTCTGCCCACATCTTAAGGATAAGTCCAATATTCACTCTCTTTTTAGCTCTGTATTTGATCTCCACCAACTCCAGAGGAAAACAGCTGGCTCTTTAGCTGCTAAATGCTTCACTATGTTCATCAGCAAGTCGTTAACTTTGTCTGTCATTCTTTGGTGGTGAGCAGGTTGTGTGGTTGCTGTGACAGTGAACCAAAACGAGCCAAAAGACCCTAGAAAGGTCCACAGCTCTGGACAACTGCAATGACAGGTGATAACTCTCTGATGGTTTATCACTATGAATGAGCCATTCCACATACAAGTAGTCATATAATCCACTGTTAATATTAAAATATTGATAATAACCACTTTTTATTATTGGCCTGAATAAGTATACCATGGAGGTGGAGTTATGTTTTCACATGGCATTTTCTAATCAGCTGTGCCAAGGTCAAGCAAGCACAAAACACTGAGGCATAGAGTACAAATTTTTTCAATGCAGATTATGCAGGTGGACAGATAAGTGCCATCTCTCAGACGCATATCAATACTATATTCACAAAACCTCTTAAATTCAACTTACCCAGCACAGAGACAACTGAGGGCTGGGACGTTTGATTACTCAGAGTTTTGTTGTTAAAAGCCTGACAGCTGTAGTTCCCACTCTGACTTTCCTGAATGTTTATAAGCCTGAGGTCTGATTCTGTATCAGACAACAGGCCTCCATTCAGAAACCACTGAAACAGGGCAGAAGGTTTGGAGACAGCTGAGCACATCAGGCTGATGTTTGACCCTTCCACATAGTACTTTTGTGACGGAGATATTGTCAGTTTAATATTTTCTGGGCCATCTGCGGGGTGCGGCATATGGGGAGTAAAAACCAACAAGAAAAAAAAGAAAAAGCACAAAAAAGTGATGTTAGCAGCTAGAAGGTGTTAAAATACATGTACCTAAGCTTACTGTGAAGCCTCAGTATAAAGTTGCAGCTTTAAAGTGGCTTGGATAAAGAGTATGCAATGTAGGTTATTAACTCACAGCTTATGGAAAGGTTTATTGGAGCACTGGTGCCATTACTGAAGGAATTGAACACATGACACCTGAATGGTCCCTGGTCATAGCGGGTCACACTGACTATAGTGAGAGTGGTGTTCCCATCAGTGAGCTGAACTCTGCCACTGGCTGAAACCTCAGAGCTGCCGTTCAGCCAGAGGAAAGAGAGGGAGGATCCAGAGGAGGAGCAGAACAGACTGACAGAGCTGAACCCCACAAGGTCTGTGCTGCTGGCAGTTACTGTTACATTGGAGACTCGCGCTGTGGGTGATAAACACAGTGGTTTTACACTTTCCACTGCTCACAACAGGGAACATGTTTCAGTCGAGGGAAACAATGCATGGTTTTTAATTACTTAACTCTGTGTCAGTTAATTTACTGTAATTACTGAAATAAATTGTCAGTTATTATGTGTTAGCTTGATATTCATAGTAGTTTGTTTCAACAAAGGCTTTTATGCTCTTGGCCGCATTAGAGAGTGATTTGGAATTACCTTAATTATTTTTTATTCTGATAACCCAGTTATATCTGTGCGAGTAAAATGGCAGTAAAATGGCGAGTAAAAAGCGAGTGCACTGTTTCTTATTGTTCCAGAAATGTTTCGTACAACATTTTTATATTTAGGAAAGTTTTATATGGTACTATCACAGCTACATGTCTAAATCCCATTTTTATCAATATTTATATGTAGAAAACCTTTTATTCAAACTTACTTAGGACAGAGATGATGGAAGGTTGAGATGTTTCATTTCTCATAGTTTTGTTGTTAAAGGCCTGACAACTGTAGTTCCCACTCTGATCCTCCTTAATGTTTATAAGTCTGAGCTCTGGTCCAGTATCAGAAAGCGGGACTCTATTCAGGAACCAGTTAAACAGTGCAGCGGGTCTGGAGACAGCTGAGCACATCAGGCTGATGTCTGACCCTTCCACATAGTAATCCTGTGACGGGGATTTTGTCAAATGGATATTTTCTGGGCCAACTGAATGTAGGTAAAAAGAAAAAAAAACAACAGAAGAATCACGAGATGTAAGGTAGGTGCATGAAAAATAGAAAGGCATATGGCATGAACTGTGACTCATACTGAGGTCTTATATGTGATTAGTATGCACAGCGAAATTGTTATATATCAAGCACGATAGAAAAACAAAACTGTGCAAAGCAATGCAATAGAACAGAAGTTTCTCAATGAAACCGACTGTACAACGATTGAACTGACACTGTGATGTTTGTGGTGGTTTTGTACTGGAGTCAATTAAGTTGAAAATGTGTTTCTATGTCACATACAGATGTTGTCAGATAAAAGACTGAGCATGCAGGGTAGTAACTCACAGCTGATGGAGAGGTTTACTGGAGCACTGGTGTCATTACTGAAGAGATTGAACACATGACACCTGAATGGTCCCTGGTCATAGCGGGTCACACTGACTATAGTGAGAGTGGTGTTCCCATCAGTGAGCTGAACTCTGTCACTGGCTGTAACCTCAGAGCTGCCGTTCAGCCAGAGGAAAGAGAGGGAGGATCCAGAGGAGGAGCAGAACAGACTGACAGAGCTGAACTCCACCAGGTCTGTGCTGCTGGCAGTTACTGTTACATTGGAGACTCGCGTTGTGGGTGATAAACACAGTGGTTTTTTTTCTACTCTAGTTGCCATCATGAAATAAAGAGGCAGAAAATAAAGAATAATATCACTACAATTCCATCTAAGTAAACCATGCCATGATGAGCAGTCATGGCTGATGTTTAAGGTTTCTATTTGCTCCTGCTGTGCCTAAAAAAAAAAAAGAAAGAAAAAAAGAGCAGCAATAACAAACCTATTGTTTGATCCCAGTAATGCACAAACACAATGATATAACAGAAAGGGAAATCCTCAAAGCAACAACAGTAGTCAAAACAATGTTAAATTATTTCACTGTCATCAGCTCAAAATTCATAAGATCAAACACCTTCTGCAATATCATTAAGCTATATACTGTATGGGAAGTGTGTAAAATACACTTCAAATTTACTTTCCATTGTTTTCACACTGTGTCTCAGAGACATTCATTGAACTATATGGTATCCTCAGTCAGTTCTTGATGGTGGCCAATGTCACCTTTAAACACTATAAACACAGTATGTAGATTATGTTAGTGACCTACTTAGCATAACCAGAGAGGTGGTGCCCTCCTTGTTGCCAGCTGGGAAGGTAGAAATTGAGCAGATGTACTTCCCCTCATCAGTCATCGTAACATTGCTAATCTGGATGGAAGGGCTGGACAGGTTTGGGGGACTGGGTGAGAAGCTGACCCTGCCCTTCACAGGTGAGTCGGGGTAGTTGGGTTCAAAGTTGGGGTGAAACACAGCGATGTTGATCATTTCCCCTTCCTTCGGCTCGTAGGTCCATGTGACCTGTGGTGGAGGAGGCACAGGGCCAGTGGTTAGGATGTGTACAGTGACTGAGAAAAACAACAGGCCTCATTCATCATGGTGTTGATAAGTGACACTGGAAGGTGTTTTGAGACATCCACATTTTGCTGTAAAGTCCACAGGGCAGCGTACAGCATTACAATCAAATAAGTGGCACAGGTATGAATATGGATGTGAGTTTTTCTAGAGTCTCTCTCTCTCTCTCTCTCTCTCTCTCTCTCTCTCTCTCTCTCTACAAGGCACATGGACCTGTATTATCATTTAATGTGTACTTTGAATGCATGAATTGCTCTTTCACGCACCTGCAGAATCAGATTGATGCATAATTGACAAATACTTTATTTTAAAGGAAAATACCATTTGTTCAGTCACATATTACATTTATATTCACTTAATGGCCAATCTCTGTTCACTTCAGATGTGAAAGTAAATTGTAGTCCCAAGCTATTTCACTGATTTATATTGTGTCACTTCAGCACAATGAGCGAAATTTCAGGATGTAACAGACACTTTTCTTATAATTTCAAATCACAAAGTATGAGTCTGGTGGTATAAAGAAGTTATCAAATCCTAACTGAGAAAAAGAAAAAAAAAACTGCAGCTGTGTGTATCTGACCTGTGTGAGCTGAATCCCAGCGGCATTAATGAGGGCACAGCGTAGGTTGACTGTCTGGCCAGGATATGAAAACACCGCTGGCTCCACCTCCACTTGCTGACCAGTCGCTCCTAGAAGAAAGAGAAAGAGGAAAAAACTCTGTTGTTTCCTTTTTTCTAAAGTAGGAAAGGAGACCAGGAAAGGAAGCAGAGAAACAGTATCTGTATAAAGCCTGCTGATGATAAATGAGGACTGTGGAATTGCCAGAGGACAGGTTTTCTCCTCCAGACAAACCTGGACGAAGCAATTACAGTCTTCATTAAGAAAGATTGTAATGAATAATTCGTAATATTGGCCAATGGTTACTATATCATTGTTGAGAGAGTCTACATGTAAAATATAAACTACTTAAAACACAAAAAATTACTGTGGATTATGGAAAGTTTGTCATCAGCCACAGGCTGTATGCTCCCATTGGTTTCAAGAAGACTTGAGACATTTTCCAGTTGTAGTCACCCTTTCTCGATTGTTAGATTGTCATGATAACTGCTAAACAGCTGAAGCAGTTTTGTGATTGTTTCAGTTATAATGGTTCTAATGTTTGGACTGGTGGCATGTAGAGCACACTGCCTGTTGGCTACTCATGGTTTTGTGAGTTTAGTTTAGTCTTAATCACTAGCCAAACTCCTTGGCCATCAATTGAAGGATAGTGTGAGTTTTCTTAAAGAACAAACAAATTTTGACAAACAAGGACTACTGAACATGTCAAAGCTCTTAAATTTGAGATTCTTACCTGTAAAGGCCACAGAGACAATGTACAGTAAAATTAATATATCCATTGGTCACTCTCCCTGAGACGTGCAGGTGAGAAAAACGCCATCAGACTGAGACTGTTCTAATAAATGACTCATGAACCTTTACCTACGTGTTGCAGTGCAAACTGTTTGCATGATGAGAGCAACCCACTGAATCTACACCCCTTCAGGGCGATGGTCAAAAGCTGCAAGATGTCTTCCTCTTGTGGTGAAAGTGAGTTTGTGCAAGTGATCTGATGAAAGGAAGCATGATGTTAAATTACCAAGACAAAACCTGGGAGTGACATTGATTTAATTAACGGCATATTACTGATAGCCACAGTATGAATAAACCACTGAATGTTTAGTGAGTCAAAAGATGATCTCAGGTGCTGATATGACTTGTTGACATGATAATAACATAATTAAATTACCAATAAAACCTTTCAATTGTTGCTGAACGATTTTGTAAAAAAAATGCTCAGCTTGTAGGTAATAGTCGGTGATCACATCAGATCAGATCAGATCAGTAAAGTGTGCACACCAGTGCAAAGTACAATGATGGGAAAACCCTCATTACAGGTCACTTCCTCATACTGCCTTCATATCCTGAAATCCTCATACTGAAATAATCAAAGCTAAGGAGTGAAAGACTAATCATTATACTTGATACTTCAGATGAAATGGCAGAAGCTGTGTTATATGCCATCATCCTGGGAGCCATCTCAGGTAAGCTCTCACAGCAAATAACAACAATAACATTTTTTCACTTGTTCGAAAAAATATACTGAATAATATAATAGTACAGTGTAGCACAGTATATAGTATAGTTATTTTGTGAACAGTAGTGTGAGAACATGAATGTAATTAGAATATATGAAAGCACTACATACAGTATATTAGTTAACAAGGAAGTTAATGCACATGTTGCAGTTAAATTGTTACAGGTATTTTTAACCCATAACAATGTAGCTGCACGATGTCACTTAACTTTAATGAAATACATGATATTCTGTTAATTATTCAAATCAATTGTGAGTTTCCTGGGCAGCAGGGAGCTGAGGAAAGGTGAGTTGAACAAGTATTACAAAGCAGGAAATACCTGCTTCAGTTGTTNTCCCAGCGGCATTAATGAGGGCACAGCGTAGGTTGACTGTCTGGCCAGGATATGAAAACACCGCTGGCTCCACCTCCACTTGCTGACCAGTCGCTCCTAGAAGAAAGAGAAAGAGGAAAAAACTCTGTTGTTTCCTTTTTTCTAAAGTAGGAAAGGAGACCAGGAAAGGAAGCAGAGAAACAGTATCTGTATAAAGCCTGCTGATGATAAATGAGGACTGTGGAATTGCCAGAGGACAGGTTTTCTCCTCCAGACAAACCTGGACGAAGCAATTACAGTCTTCATTAAGAAAGATTGTAATGAATAATTCGTAATATTGGCCAATGGTTACTATATCATTGTTGAGAGAGTCTACATGTAAAATATAAACTACTTAAAACACAAAAAATTACTGTGGATTATGGAAAGTTTGTCATCAGCCACAGGCTGTATGCTCCCATTGGTTTCAAGAAGACTTGAGACATTTTCCAGTTGTAGTCACCCTTTCTCGATTGTTAGATTGTCATGATAACTGCTAAACAGCTGAAGCAGTTTTGTGATTGTTTCAGTTATAATGGTTCTAATGTTTGGACTGGTGGCATGTAGAGCACACTGCCTGTTGGCTACTCATGGTTTTGTGAGTTTAGTTTAGTCTTAATCACTAGCCAAACTCCTTGGCCATCAATTGAAGGATAGTGTGAGTTTTCTTAAAGAACAAACAACAAATTTTGACAAACAAGGACTACTGAACATGTCAAAGCTCTTAAATTTGAGATTCTTACCTGTAAAGGCCACAGAGACAATGTACAGTAAAATTAATATATCCATTGGTCACTCTCCCTGAGACGTGCAGGTGAGAAAAACGCCATCAGACTGAGACTGTTCTAATAAATGACTCATGAACCTTTACCTACGTGTTGCAGTGCAAACTGTTTGCATGATGAGAGCAACCCACTGAATCTACACCCCTTCAGGGCGATGGTCAAAAGCTGCAAGATGTCTTCCTCTTGTGGTGAAAGTGAGTTTGTGCAAGTGATCTGATGAAAGGAAGCATGATGTTAAATTACCAAGACAAAACCTGGGAGTGACATTGATTTAATTAACGGCATATTACTGATAGCCACAGTATGAATAAACCACTGAATGTTTAGTGAGTCAAAAGATGATCTCAGGTGCTGATATGACTTGTTGACATGATAATAACATAATTAAATTACCAATAAAACCTTTCAATTGTTGCTGAACGATTTTGTAAAAAAAATGCTCAGCTTGTAGGTAATAGTCGGTGATCACATCAGATCAGATCAGATCAGTAAAGTGTGCACACCAGTGCAAAGTACAATGATGGGAAAACCCTCATTAGAGGTCACTTCCTCATACTGCCTTCATATCCTGAAATCCTCATACTGAAATAAACAAAGCTAAGGAGTGAAAGACTAATCATTATACTTGATACTTCAGATGAAATGGCAGAAGCTGTGTTATATGCCATCATCCTGGGAGCCATCTCAGGTAAGCTCTCACAGCAAATAACAACAATAACATTTTTTCACTTGTTCGAAAAAATATACTGAATAATATAATAGTACAGTGTAGCACAGTATATAGTATAGTTATTTTGTGAACAGTAGTGTGAGAACATGAATGTAATTAGAATATATGAAAGCACTACATACAGTATATTAGTTAACAAGGAAGTTAATGCACATGTTGCAGTTAAATTGTTAGAGGTATTTTTAACCCATAACAATGTAGCTGCA